GTCACCACACTAATTAAAGCCATGGTTCACGTGCACACTATGCTCCTTCTGTCAGGCATGTGCATCCCCACCAGGAGCGCTTCCACTGACTGAAGTGGGGCACTGACAGCTGGAGCCCTACCCAGAGGGCTGACAGCCAACAAGCAATGGAAGTAACACAGTGTCTACATAGACCCTGTTGCCCTAACTACATTGACCTAAGCGGTACACCTCTTGCGGAAGTGGAGTTATGTCAATGTTGTGGGTGACTTACAGTGGTGGGAGTATCATTGTAGTGTAGACATTTAAAGTTAGGTAGATGTAAGCTGCTTTATGCTGACCTAACTCTGGAGTGTAGAGTAGGCCTCAGTCCTATGGTAGTGCTGGGGCCTGAACTAGCTGACCTAGTGAAGTCCTTTCCTACATTTCTATGATTCTATGTGTTCCAGTGTGCTGTTTGATTGAGGTCCATACCATTTTCCTTGAGGTAGTGTTTGGACCTGATAGTGGATGGTGTCTAGTGCATTCAGCTCCTGTTTAAAAAAAATACAGGTGTTAAAGGAACTTTGCACCTTGTAATAGCAGGCCTGAGAAGAGGCAATAGTACACCTCTACCTCAATATAACGCTGTCCTTGGGAGCCAAAAAATCTTACCATGTTATAGGTGAAACCACATTATATCAAACTTGCTTTAATCACCAGCGTGCACAGCCCCACACCCCCAGAGCACTGCTTTACTGTATTATATCTGAATTTGTGTTATATTGGGTCATGTTATATTGGGGTAGAGGTGTATATTAGGTGAATTAAATTGACCTTTTCTTCAGTAACTTCAGCACTAGTACTACAGGCGTCTGTGGTGCACATAATAAAAGGCATTGTTTTATTGTAAAAGTTTATCCACAAGAATATAAAAGGTGTGGTGGTGGTAGAGGGGTGTCTATGCTGTTTGGGGGGATTTTAAGAAACAGAGAAATAAAGGATGGATGTTAGTCACTTGCTCTTTCCTGGGTGAGAGTATCCAGAGTGAAACTGACTTTACAGGGTCCAGCCAACAATGTATTGTTTAGTAGGTCCAACAAAAGTTACCAGAAAACTTGTGGATGTTGGAGAATATGGTTGCTGACTTCTGGAAATGGTCCTTAATCCAGGTTTCAGCATACCTGTAGTTGCCCCAGCCCTTCTTCAGAAGGGTCTTTGACTCAGCTATGGATGGGAAATACACAGCCATTGAGTGAGAAATAACAGCTTGTATTTGATCATATTCTTCCATCCCTAGTGGGGGAGTGAACAGAAACTGGATTGGAGTCCCCAGGAAGCTGTACACGCCCGGTTCCAGTGATAGTCACTGTGTGTGTGTGAGAACTACTGGACCTCCTTCTGGACAATTGGATTCTACTGAGCACAGTGACAGAGGTGACTTGGACAATCCTAACTTGCAAGAATACAAGGGATGCCATCCACTAGCTGACTGGTGTGTGTTAAAAGATTGAGTCAATACCCATGTTGGACTTGATGCATTTATTGTCCTAAAATGAAATAGTGGATCAGGTACAGTCAAAAAAATGCATGTTTTGAGCTTTACAGTGGATTCTCTGGTATACAAGACTGGGGAGACTCAGTCAGAAACAGGAATCAGTTTGTATAAAATTATACTTAGTAAATGTAAACACCATGCTAAAGTGCCAGTAAAAGCAATGGAAATGTGAGACATGGAGAGAGCATGGTAAGGAAAATTATGTTAAAATGGAAAATCTTTGCCAATAGCTGTTTCTGCTGCTTGTTGGTGCACTGGCACGAAAAAAGGATTTTTCTTCTGCAATTGAGAAATAGCTGTATGTATGGAATGGTGGGTGTAATGTCTCAGCGAAGTGAGCTCTGAGCTAGCACACCACTACACTGTAGACCCATTTTCACTTACTGAAGCATAAAACAGCCCATCTCTCTTCACTACCATCACAACATTGCTCTCCTTGTGGCAGAGTTGTGCTAATACTCACTAATCTGCACATACCACCCACTGAGCCACCAACTTGCTGAGAAATGACTTAGCACTGTAGAGGCTTCAGTTACTTCTATAGTTGTGCTATTGAACATCTACACTTGTCAGATGAACCCAGGACACTAGGTGATGTAATATCAGTGTTTCTACCATTCTTTGGGTATAAGAAACACTAAGGTATACCCAGTCCTTCTCTTCTATCCTCTCTCTCCAAATGCTTCCTATGACTCCTTGTTTTCATAATATGTAGAAGCCATGAGTCACCTGTTCTAACTGAACAATGAAAGTGATCCACAGACAGGTAACTGATTTTACTGCTATAATCCATCTGTCCTCCTCCTCCCTTACTTATTTACTACCTCTACTTGTTGCATTGTCTCTCACTAGATTGTAAAGTCTTCAGGGCAGGAATCAGGTATTTGAAAAGACCCACCCATCAGTTACTCTAATTTGCAAAATCCAATAGCGTTGTGTGTTGCCTAAATACTAATGCAAGTTAGTACTGTTATTCTGTACAGGCTATTGGTACATTAAACTATTTTACAAAAGAGGAAAACTTCCAGAAGGTATCACTTGCCCAGTTCTCTCTTCCCCCTCCCCCCCAAAATGCTTAACTAGTCACTATGACAGTGAGCACAAGAGGGCAAAGTAGTATTCAAGAACACTCAAGTGCTATGCTATGTACCCCCAACACTTAGAGCTAGCACAGCAAGTTCACTGTAGACTGGCTTTAAGTGGTGTACAGCAACAAACCTGGTCATGGTTTATACTTTTATTAAAGTTTGTTTTTCTAGTTGTGTTGCCTCTCCACATTTCATGGTACTTCTCTCTCCTACGCTCCAAGCTTCTTGCAGGAAACTGAAGTTAAATACACCTTCAGTTTGCTGGACTGGAAACAAGTAGCTGAAGCTCCCTTCATGTGTTATAGGGGCAAAACTCCAATAGGGTACAGATCTGAAATGTCGTGTGGTGCTGAATTTAGCCCTAGATTTTTAAACTTGTGCCCAAATTAGACTTTAGTATAGCAAGCTGCAAAATCCTTACTAAACTGCAAATGACAATGGATAGTCATGGTCCTTGTAGTGATAAGAGTATAATGTCTGCCATTTTCAGGGAATCTACTGTTGGAAAAGATAGTCCTGTCCCCTTGAAGCAGGATAATCCTTACTTTGCCTAGAACAGTAACCCAAATTGAAGGCAAAATGCTTCAAAAAGGAATTTCCACATTTTGCATTTTCTGCCATTTGTGATACAAGATATGATGCACATTTCAAACAAAGGACACAATGTTTGGGGATTGAAGGTAACTTTAGATTGTAAAGTCCAGATAAGGGGTAGTTCATTCTCTCCCATGACCCACAACAGAATATGAACTTTATATGATGGACAACTGAAATAGAGACAGGATGTCCAAAAGCATCACATGCCTGTGACAGCAAGTTGCTTGCCTTTTCATGGTAGCTGTAGTGAGATTTTCATTTCAGCCTCAAGGAAGTGGTTTGCAGAAGAGAAGCAGCTCAAGCTGATAGGGTGCAATAACCTGCAAGTCTCTCCCTGGGTTGACTGACAGCAGCAGGTTCCCAGTGGGGACTCTGTTATTGACCCATTGCAGTAGAACTGGGTGCTAGTAAGCCTATGACATTTCATTATATTATTGCCAAAAAAAAGTTGGTTTGCAGCAGGAAGTTACTTTTGACACCTGAGTATAATCTATGTTCATCTTTGCCCCACCCCCCCAGGGGCATCTAACAAGACGCAGGACTGGAGATGGTTAGCTTTGAAGCAGTCTTCCAAAAGGTACAACTAAAGGACAAATCTGTTCAACTAAATGAACAAGGTAGATAGTAAGTTACTACTTATATTGGACAATGCTTGACTAAACCTTGAAACCCACACATTACTGTAGGAGTCCTCAGCTATACAGCCCTTCCTGCTTTTAGAGAGGAAAAATAATCAGATTCTTTAAGAGCCTTAGTATTCTATCCTAGTGACAACTGAGGACAGGAGTGAGATTAATAACCAGCTAATTAAGTGCCACAAAAGAACAGGAAGTGTATAAAGAAAGGAAGCAGTAAGATCCCTTCAAGTACTTATGCAATAGCTCTCCAGGGGAAAACTGTGGCCGAAGGCTGAGTTGATCAATTAAAACAGATTTTAACTAGTGACCGATACATTTCATCCTACTGTAGGTTTGAGGCTGCTGAGTGCACTATGAAATCAGTAATAACTAACTTAGAAATTGAATCATGAATCGGGTTGTCTGGTTTTCAACCAGAATACTTGGTTGAAAAGGGACCCTCCCCCAGCCTGGTGAAAGTGAGCAAGGGTGGGGGAGAGTGAGCAACAGAGGGAGGGGATGGAGTGAGTGGGGCAGGGCCTCAGAAGGGGCAGGGCAAAGGTGTTCAGTGAGAAAGTTGGCAACCCTAATCATGATACATACCAAAAAAAAAAAAAAAAGTCAGAGTCACATCAATATGAACACTCTTGAATGGGTAAGGAGTGACACTGTACTCTTGGGAACCAATGCTCAGCTGCTGTAATTTGGCAGAACTCCAACACCGAGCAAGAATTCACTAGATGGAGATGGTTATTAGTCATTGAATATCTTCCACTTTGGGGGGTGGGGAGGGGAAGAGGGAGGTATTAAGAATAGCACTTTCACTTCAGTTATGCACATACTATTTACAACAAGGATGGTTTAGTATGTGCAGTTATATACCCACTGGAATTATATAGCCTGATGCTTGGACTACAGCAAACAAAGTTAGCTTAACATAAGTTACTCCTGTGGAGGCTGTAGCATTCTACAGCTGAGGGCTTGGTTAACATTCCTGGAAGGATGATGGGAATTCATCATGATGATAAATCAAGGAGCACTTAGATGCACCCTATATATATATATATATTATATTATTCTACAGGCTAGCATGTAGTTCAGGAAATTACTTCTATAATCAGATGGATCAATGATAATGAACAAGGTATAGTTCTTCAATGAAGTTCATAACATCTCAATTAGTGATTTTTAGCAAGTATTTATTGTTAAAACATATGCATCACAAACAATCCTAGCAAAATGCTTTTGGCTGGTTTTACAATTACTCTGGAGCATCCCTTTTTGAAGTAAAGCTGCATGGATTAGATGACACTTAAAAAAGAGGCATCTGCTAAGTGTAACAGGACTTTGCACTCATGGTTTTGCTTATTTTCTTTCAATTAACTTCCAACTCCATATTACATTTAATGCATCTGAAGTTAAAAACTGGTTTGGGAAAAAACATGAACAGAACTAGTTGATTGAAGGTCCAGACCTGGGCAGTAGAGGAAATCAGGACTACACAGGAATGACTGCAGCCAAGCCCATTGAAAGGCGTTTGATGAGTGCATAATTTAATATCAATTAGGAGGACAGCAGAGTCAGTCTGCCAAAATAATGCTAGTTAAGCAATTATACAAGAATTTTACAATACATGATGTCTGGAATAATCACTATTTGGTTAAGATAATCATTTACAAAATAAAAGGCAAGTTGAAATATAATTAAATCTTACTCCCAGGGTTTACTGGTAATAAACATTTTCCTTCTTGCTTGGAAACTGACTAAGGGTGTAAGACTTCTCTTGATGCACTTTGTCATTACTGGTGCAATAGTTGTATTTTTGTAACAAGGTTTACAGCCCATGATGTATTTTATCTAGTTATCCTCAGTTTGTTACAAGACTCATTACAGAGTAGGAATATTGCAAAAATACATTCTTAGAATGGACTGAACAGAAAATGCCATTGTTCTAAGACTTTCTATTTCATAAACAGTAAGGATGACAAAAGTTTCACATTATAGTTTGATCTTACTTTTACACTTCGGTAAAACACGCAACAGTAAATTTGTTGCAATAGCCAGGTCTGCAGCAAATTGCTGTTGAGGGGAATCAAAATATAAACTACACTTGGTCTACAAAAAAACTCCCTATGTTCATTTGTTATACAGATAATCTTATATATGCTACGTGACAAGGAAGTTGTACAAGCCACTGGTCTCCATACAGAAAGTCTAAGGCATCTGTAAACTTTTAGCAAGTTAATTAGTAATGCTTTGTTAGTACCTTTAACACCAGCAATTTCAAAACACATTCTCATATTTACTAGAGTGAAATAGGTTATTTCCCCCCCCTCCCCAAGACTTACTTCAATTTCTAATTGTAAATTAGAATGAGTTTTATGCTTGGACAAGGGGCTGGACTGACCATGCTGGAGACTGAATTCCTCTTTCACTACAGAACAAGCACTACAAACTTTCCCCATTCAGCCTTAAGTGCCTGAAGCCCTAACCTAACAAAACTGCATGTAGGGCCAAGAAGGGAGTTCAGTCTCATGCTCATCCAACCCTTGACATCTGCAAGCAGACTGATTAACATTTTCTAAGTTGTGAGTATCCAAGGACAGGGGTGGCAGGGTTTTTTGGTCACAGTTGTAAATATACCACATAAAGGAAGAAGTGCATTATTTGTTTGCCACATTAGAAATGTACTGACCACCACCAGAGATCTTCAAGAGCTTTCCACTTGATTTGTGCCCTTTAACAGAGTATGACTACCAACCCTAACACGAAGAGCTGTGAGAAGAAAAAAAATGCACACCAGGTAGATAGTGTTTACAGGAAGTGAAGCTGAGGTGTGGTAAACTTCACACCCCTGGGTGGGGGGAGGGGAGAATGTAAACATTAGGTCTTTAATTATGAGGTAAAAGATGGGGGACACTAGGTAGTTTGGGCTGCCTATAGTTCAACTTTTTTGTGTGGGGGGGGTTAAATCTGGCAGAGAACAATGTTTACAAATTTGCTTAATAATTTCTAAGATAGTTGCCAAGAAAACTCACAGTAAAGGCACTTTAAATTTGTCAAATTTCTGTTAAGAGAATGTAGTTACTTTGAATTCAATCTCAGATGCACATTTCAGGTTGTACATGGAAGGGCTATTAATACTCATACCTGCCTTTAAATTCCAGTGAGGCATAGATGACAGTTTCAGAACGAATGCTGGTGTACTTTAAAAGTGCTAGGTAGGATTTACCAGAGGATTTAGGATTGTTGCATTTTTAAATGCATCATTAATTTCTATTCGACCCCCCGAAAGTGAATTTGCAACATGTAAGAGTAGGCTAGTATGAGAAACTGAACCTGCTCTGGATCTACTGTAAAGACTGCCAAGCACGTCTCAGAGGCCTTCCCAAATTGAAGTAAAACTGGAAGTCAGATCTGCCTTACTGGACTTTAAAAAAAAGCCTATTGATAATGGTAAGGGGCCAAAACTCAATTCTACAAGTCAAATATTCTAATCCTTTTGAGACTAATTGCTGTAAAGCACTAGACAGATCAAGTCTTGTCAACTTCCTAACAAAGTCCATTTATGAATCGCTATGCAAATGACTCTGGAATAACCACTCCTATCCTCTAGTGCTGCATCTTTCCTCCTCTTGACAGGTTTTAAGTGGGAAAGACAGCAAGCAAATGTGAAGTTACACTTGATCACTGGATGTGGTTAGTCAACCAGTTAAACTGACAAGACAATCATTTCTTTGAACTGATACTTCATCCATTTGCAATTTTAACATGGTAAATGGGAATTTAACTTATGCAAACCCATGATGAGTTACTGACATTTTAAAACAATCAGAAGTGATACATGATTATTCTTAGATTGTCCAGGATTTCTTTTGATCATTTAAACTGTCATGCTTTGTAATTAAGTGCTTTTCAGACTCATTCATGCCATCCTTCTCAAGTGTCTCAGAACAAGTCTGCTGCAAGTTGATATTCAAAGTTAGATATACTGAAGGTAGACAGTTTATATTAGAGAAGAATACCACCTTTTAAGAAAGTGGCAGTATTTGTCCTTTATTGAAAGAACATGGCTACTGACATTACAACCAACATGATTTGCACTGATAGAGAATGAAAACAAAGTTGGTCCATTATTTCACTCTAGTGTTACTAAGTTCAGGGTTCCAGTTTTTGCACCAACATATGTTGGAAGACCGATCAGTGAACTAAGATTCCATCTGAAATGCACTAGATGGGTGTCAGGTCTTTGTTTTACTGCACAAGCCCAAATTTTGCCTAGCATAAAGCAAATATCCTATAAATCAAAGAAATATAAAAAAAGTAGCACTCTGGTTTATCGGCTCATTTTACATATATAGGCAATAGATACTGGACATGTCACTATTCCAGAAGACCGGGAAATTGAAGTTATGAATATCTGCACCCCTATTGCACGCACTGTATCACAGAGTAGTGGTTAATGAATACTAAAAAAAATATATACACAACTGATTTGTTCGTGGAGCAGAGATGGGGAATGCTGCATGTAGTCTGGTCTACATTTATCTCCCAGGGCTAAAAAACTAACAAGGCAAGACACATTTTAATTAAGTACATATTAAACTGACACCTTTGCCTATCATACAACAGCCAGTTTACCAGAGTAAGTGCTTACTAGCAGCTAAGTGATTTATGGGCTACTTGGGGTGGGGGGGACCTGTGTCATTGTTTCATAGGTTCAGCATATTTAAGAGGGACCACAGCCAGGCCAGGAAAAAAAACACATTGCCATTATAGTGTGCAAAGGTTTGACATCAGGCTGTTTCACAGTGCAGTCAGAACTCCTTCCTACAACCCCCAACTGCCTAACATTTGATACTGAACCTCCAAATACTGCCAATAACTGGCCATTCTGCTGGATTTGGAGACCTGTTCTGACAGTCTAGAAGTGCAGAAGCAGCTTTATATCAGTGGAGTTGCTGGTTCTGTTGTGCACTGATTAACCATAGTCTTTAGATCCAAGAAAAATGCTACTAGTAACTAGCGTCTCGTAGGAGTCATAACTGCAGCTCCAGCCCAGTATTCCTTTGCTGGAAGTACAACTACCCAATCTGTTTTCCTTTAGTGTTTCTTCTTCAATTAGTGTAAGCTTAGGTCTGTTCTTGGAGCACTTAAGTTACACAAGAATTGTTTTCAAGCCAGAAAGACCACTGATGCAAATAGTACAACAAAAACGTGGACTTCATCCGTTCTAGCAGCCATGAAGAACGTCTGCCAATTAAAAGGAGCCTGCAAATCCTCTTGAACATGCTGGAGCTAATGAGACATTTACTCAGGAGGTATCAATATGTGGAACTGCAATGCTGAGTCCTTTATAATCAGAGATATTGTAAAGCTCTCTCTTGTAAGGCCACGATTCTTCAGCTATGCCCCTTTAAACCCTGTTTAAAGATTTAACTCAAAGTAGGTCATGGCTGTCACAGCAGAGTCCAGTTTTATAAAAAGAGCCTTCTATGGAGAAAGGGAACACTTATCTTTGAAGACAATGCAAAGTTACTATTTACCCCTGAAACTTAGTGCCATCTCTTCTTAAATAGCCTGAAAACGGCAAGATTTTAGAGTAGCTCAATGCAATCCACCAGGGCAAGCACAGACCTGTTTGTTATTCCTATCAGCACAGGACACCAGGCTAATGCAATTTTAATTCCCATGCCTGTGGCAACGAGGAGGGTCTAACTCAATTCAGGTTTATCACTCCAATTCGTTTACCAGTGAAGTCTATCACAGCCCAACACATTTATAGCCATACAAAATCATTTATACTGGAATATATCGTAACATGGTCCTTAATTAGTTCAGTCTATTGCCAAAGGAAGACATGTATAGGCCTCCCCTTTCCTGCGTACAGGGCTTGCTAGCAGAGCTGCTGTCTGAAGAGCACTGACCGAGAATCCCCTACTCCCACAACATACTAGGAGACTCCTCCCAGAGTCAAGACGTCAAAGCAGATGTTGCAAACGCGAACAGGCTTGTTTAAGTCAAATTTTATGATGGGAATCTCCTTTGTTGAGCACCTATGGCAGAGCAGACGTCCACAGTGGCGGCTGTGGGGGGGGAGAGAAAAGCATGAGTTAGTTCAGGGGTCAGCAGCCTTTCAGAAGTGGTGTGCCAAGTCTTCATTCATTCACTCTAATTTAAGGTTTCGAGTGCCAGTAATACATTTTAACGTTTTTAGAAGATCTTTCTATATGTCTATAAACTAACTAAACTATTGATGTATGTAAAGTAAGTAACTTTTTTAAAATGTTTAAGAAACGTCATTTAAAATTAAAATGCAGAGCCCCCCAGTCCAGTGGCCAGGATCTGGGCAGTGAGAGTGCCACTGAAAATCAGCTTGCGTGCCGCCTTCGGCGCACATGCCATAGGTTGTCTACCCCTGAGTTAGTTGTTTATAATCTCAACATCAAAACAATGAAGCCCATGTTATATGCTCAGACACCCTGGTGAGAGTGAAGAGTCAATGTTTTAGTGTTTGAGAGGTTACAAAAAGAAGAGTCATCCTTTATAGTAAGTGGCTGATTCCTTTATATAAGAGACCCCAGTGTCTGGTGGCAGAAATAAGAACTGCTTCCACTAGAGTTCTTTACCAATCACTGGAGCCATCTTCCTGCTAAGACAGCACTTATTATAGGAGCAGAGTTAATAGCTCCAGCTCTTCCCATACCAATACTGCTCTAGAATCCAATTTCATTTTCTGTATCAAACACTAACTAGAATCAGTTCTAGCTTAGAGAAACACGCCAGCCTAATCTGAGGAGAGTTAACTAACACTAAGTGAGTAAGGACTGGTCTACACTGAGGGGGGGAATTGATCCAAGATATGCAACTTCAGCTATGCGAATAGCATAGCTGAAGTCAAAGTATCTTGGATCGAATTACCTGGGGTCCACACAGCGCGGGATCGATGGCTGTGGCTCCCCCGTCGACTGCGCTACCACCGCTCGCTCTGGTGGAGTTCCGGAGTCGACGGTGAGCGCGTTCGGGGATCGATATATCGCGTCTTAATGAGAGGCGATATATCGATCCCAGATAAATCGATTGCTACCTGCCGGTACGGCGGGTAGTGAAGACGTACCCTAAGACTCCATAAATGAGAGTGTGTTACTAATTCCTCAGATTATCTCCGATATTGATCCTTAAACACTGGAAGCCGTTTTGCTAGTCCCACCAAGGGAGCTACAGCAGTTAAACAACTTTTTATCTCCCCATCTAGGTGATGTTTGTCCCTTGCATGCACCTTGGCTGTATGTCTCATCAGTCCCTACTGAAAGGCCTAATAGTAGCCAACGTGTTCAAGCCTGGATTATGATTAGGTTTCTACTACAGCTTCCCTGATGAGTGTGGGATAGAAGCCTTCACTTTGACCCCAATGAGAAATATTAGCCAAGAGCAGGCTACATCAGCTTTGCAGATTAGTTCAGAAAAAGCATCTATGGCCACATAGGGCAAAGAAACTGTGGTAGAGTCCTGCTAGGAACACCTGCATTTGAAGCACTTTTCATATATAGTAGAACCTCAGACTTACAAACACCTCGAGAAAGGAAGTTGTAACTGAAATGTTCGTAACTCTGAACAAAACATTATGGCTGTTCTTTCAAACGTTTACAAGAAAAATGCTGCTTTAATAGTTTACATTTCATAGTACTGTACTGCACTTGCTTTGCTCCCCCCCCCCCCCCCATCTCTATTGCCTCTTGATGGTGTACTTCCGGTTCCAAATGAGGTGTGGGGCTGATGGGCAAGTTTGTAACTCTGAAGTTCTACGAAAATGTGTATGGGACCAAAAGCCAATAGACTGTCAGACTGCTTTCAGAGTCCCTGTGGTTTTCCTTCTTTGCTACAGCTTGGGAGCCCCACTATAACCGATAGCAGTTTCCCCAAGACAGGGTGGGTGAGGTAATATCTTTTATTGGCCCAACCTCTGTTGGTGAGGGACAAGAAGTTGGTCCAGTAAAAGATATTCCTCACCCACCTGGCGTCTCATATCTTGGGACCACCATGGCTATAACTACACAGCTTACAGCAGGTTTCCCTCTCCAACACCCCAGCTCTCAACACTGCAAGTGGCTTCTCACCCCTGATGAAAAAGGAGTTCCCTTGACAGTCAACCGCCTTCCTTACATGCAACTGCAGGCAGCTTACTGCCCAACAGCCAGTCATTCAGATGGTAGCCATGGGGCTCTGGAAAAAACCTCTTCTACCTAGCAATTGAAGTAGGATATGGAAGAGGGCTTTAATTCAGAGGGATCAAGTACTCATTTATCCACATGCATTTTATACCTCTACAGAAGATTGATTCTTCCAAGACTACTTAAACCAAGCCAGCTATATTCTGAAAATTAGTCGTTGGGGGGAGTAGTAATGTTTAATAAATTAAGTTACCAATGATGTTTCCTTGTTGTGACTCCAAACTTGGCAGTGCATTCATAGCAGTTGGAGCCATCACACCAGGGAGGTTCTTTTGACAGCATATCTGTAAGGAAGGTGAGATACAGGTTCTTCAAGGGTGTATGTCCCTTGAAACAAGTCTCTCCCCCTTCATAGCTCAAAAACATTTTTCTGACTATATTTAGAATGGTCACCTTGCCCCCGTTTTCAGAGCTTAGATCACTGCTATCACAGATTCAAACAGCTGAACAAGTGCCCACCAACCTTAATAAAACTGTATTTAGCATATTTAGTGCCAAAGTTCAGACAGTTTAGTAGAATTTTCTAAAGTATTGAGTCAATGGAAGCTGGATTCTCTTGCAAATGTTTGCAATTAGAGTGGAACATTAAATGAGTACTAGAAAGTTGTTCTCATTGTCCAAGACACGTGCAAAGAGCACACAGCAAGTGGTCAAGGGGTATATTTACCAAATGTTTCATTTTGAAAACCAATGTGATGTTAGTAGATTACCTTCCCCTTTTTTAAAAAGGGGACAGTTTTAAGAGTTATGGCCAGAGTTTAAGCCCAAGTGCCTGAAGTTAAGCACAGATCCACTGAAAAGGTCAGGCAAAGGTATGAGCCCTTGCAACTCTCAGTGAAGGGGGTGGAATTTGTGGGAGCCCAGCCCCCCTCAAAATTGGGACCCTAAATTAGTGGTCTGACTAAGCAGGTCTCACTGATAACAAAAGCCTAGGCTTCTTTCTTTTTTTTATTAAACTTGAGTGCTAAATGTACTTACCCAAGAGTCTAAAGAGAAGCTGTTTTGTAGCAACTTGGTAGTTGAAGATATTGACTCCTTGGTTATTGTTAACCCCAAGACGAGCCCCAGCTCTCACTATAGCACGGCACAAGTTAGCATTTCCCTTCATATAGGCCAAGAGAAGCACTGAAAAGCAAAGGCAGACATTTCCCTACTGGGGCAGGCTAATATTGTCCCACACTCACAGATGCAACATGTGGAGATCCATGTGTCCATACCATCTGTCATACAAGTAATATTCAAGGACTACTGCGTCAACTTTAGAAGTATTATATGGGCTAGTGATTGTATTCTTAACTCAATGGGCAAGATACAGGGTTTCCTGCAGGAGCTGAAGTCACTATGACTAAGTAGTGCAAATCCCTAGGCAAGTAACAACTCTGGAGAAAAAAGGTCTCAACCCTTGTGGGAAATTGGATAGACTAGTTTTACCTGGTTCAAGAGGCCTGGCAAGCAAAGAATTGACAAATGTATGGAAGCGACTACTCTGACGTAGAGAGAGGTCACATACACTGGATCCAAGAACTGACATAGAACTATGACCAAGAGAGACAGACCCTGCACTACTTTAATCCTATCAGAATCCCTAGGAAGATGACAGGTAACTGGCTGATAAGCTAGGCCTGCTGTTTATTCAGAGAAAACAAGTGTCTTTACAAACAATAAATAGTATTTCACTTTACGAAACCGGGGTGATCACTGGTTAGTCCTGTCATTATCTCATCAGGTCTGACTTCAGTTCAGCATTATCTTGAGAATAAATCAATGAATTGCAGGAGTTTGCAGCCTAAATCTCTCTGGAGAGAGGTGGTACTGATGGCTAGAGGTCTGGAATGTAAGGGAGGCAACCTCTAAGAGCCCATAAAGAGATCACAGGTGCAGTTATCTTGGAATTGTGACAACTTTTAATTTGGTCTTACAAATTAGTAATAGATTTAAATTTATTAACTGAATATGTGCATCTCAGTTTTACAAGTACAATGCCAACTAGTCATGCTTTCCTCAGTTCACATCAATTGCATAGTATTTTTTAAACAGCAACTTTCAGATTCAAGAAATACTATATTCTGGTTACCTGTGTTTCCTTCAGCATCAGGTTTGTCTAGAGGATATTCTGGCATACATTCTAAGAAGAGCTCACAGATGGCTGCAGCATTATCTTTCCCATAATGTCCCAGAATGTGCATTGGTGACTGACCTCTGACAACACAAGACACTCAGATATTACAACAGATCTATATGTTATGCAGACCAAGATGTGTTTATACTATGATTGTTTACTTCAGTCAGCTTCAGACTGACTTGTCCATAAAGCAGTGTGGCAGCCAGTTTTAAAGCACATCATGGGTAATTAAAGTTCATGGTTTTCTTGAATTAGTGATTTAGAGTTCAATGCTTAATTCATGCTGAGAAAAGATACTGAAAGAATTGCTAAGAGGTGTTTGAATGAAGTGATTTTGAACATTTATTGCTTTGTGCACCTTGAAAGTGCATCAATTGTCAACTTTTAAGTTGATCTACAGAATTAAAAAAGTTTTGATGCAGTTGTATTTATAGACACACATTTTTTAAAGTTGCTTATGATCTAATAAAGTCTGTGTTCATGCAGAATAATATGTAACAGCAGTATTTACCGAAGATTAAAGGCTTCAGCATCCACATTACATTCTGTCAGGAGGATACGGATATTGTTTAGACGACCATGCATCACGGCCAGATGAAGAGCTGGGGATGGGGAAAGAGAAATCCAAGGTTCAAGTGGCCTTCCTGACATCCCAGAGTCATTAGGAAGCCTGGCAAAGTCATGTACCCCCCACTTTTTAAGTTAGATTTCTATGACTTACCCTGTCCCTTTCATACCCTTGAAGAAATTGCAATCCACTCAGCAACCAGCTCCCAAACCAGGGGATACCAAGAGCTGGATTGCTAAACTGCAAAGATTTGCAAGAGTTTAGAAGTAGATACATTTACCATTATTTCCATTTTCATCCACAGCCGCAAAGTCTACTCCGTTCTCTAGAAGGACGGAGCAAATTGTGGGCAGGTCCTGCTGAGCAGCTAGGTGGAGAGCAGTCTGGCGGTGCTTAGTCAGCTCGTTCACCTTCGCACCTGCAAGAAGCTGATGGAAGACATGAGAATGAAGAGATCCCTAAAATGTCTCCTTTGAGAAGATTAGCAGCCAGTACACTAGATCATTTCCACCTCAATGTATTACATAAATGCTTTCCAATTAGTTCTCACACCACCTCTAGATGGGAGGCAAATATTGCTATTATACAGAGATGAACTGAGGCAGATATTAAGTGGTCATATCAAGTTAGGCCAAGACTTGGTACTATGACAGATGGATCTCAACTCCCAGGTTAATGCTGTAGACTCTAGGTGACTGTTGAGCTATTTTAGAAAGGTTTATAATTGGTATTGAGACACTTAAAGAAAAATCAAGTACATTAAGTTCAAGTTCATTAGAATCTTCTCCAGTACATACCAGATTGCGCACGATAATTTCTGAGCCCGCTTGTACAGCTAGATGTAAAGGTGTTAGCTTAGAAGCATCCTGGACTCTCGAATTCACATTAGCTTGGACACTGATCAGGAAGAGCACACTCTCGATATCAGAGTTCTGAACAGCTATGTGGAGGAAGTTCCGACCTTTGTTATCCACCTGAGGCAGTGAGAGAGAGCACGCAAGCATACAATGAAGCCTTGCATAAAGGCGTTCCTGAAGAGCAGGACAGATCAAGTCTATTGTTGGATGATCACTGGAGCTCTGTTTTTATCTAGACATATGCTCCAAGGCACAAGGTCTCAATTATTGAATCATCCTTTTCTCTGGCTTTGAGAAATGCAATCTTGCCCCACTCTCATCCTTTCAGAATGCTACTGCAAAGATCTTTTCCTACCCTGTCACTTTGACCACATCACCCTTCCCTGTGCATCCCCTCTATCAGTTCCCCTTCAATCATACAAAACATCAGCTACTTGTTTTCACCTACGAGGCCCTTCAGAGCCTACCATCTCTCATTCAGTATAAAAAGGTCAACCTCTCCCTGAAATGGCCAATGATGCCAGCCTCCATCGCCCACCTGTTAAGCTTCCAAACAAGAACTGTTTTCTCCCATGCTGGAGCTTCCTTTAAATATTTGCAAAACTCATTATCCTTCTTCACATCTCTCCTAAAAGACGACTTAGCTGTGCTGCCCACAAACTCGACACTCTTTTAGGCTGCTGGTGCACTGAGAAATCTGCCCATCATGCTGACCAATAATGCCCCATTGTTTCCTTGTGTCTGTCTATATCCATACGTTTTCTCTGGTCTTATATTTAGACTGTAAGCTCCTTGGAGAAAAAGGGACTGTCTTTGGTCTGTTTGTACAGAACATCGTCAACCACCAGGGCTCCTACATGCTACAATAATACAAATAAGAGATACCTGCTGCCCTCATCTCAGTCATTATCTGCAAGCAGAGAGCCCATTCTCATTCTTTCACTGAGAAACCAGATGTTAGAGATGGAGACCACTCACTGGATAGCATCAATTCCCTGCAACTGATTCTAAGTTACCATGAAATATGGTTGAAAGCATTTGCTAAGCCCTTAAAGAGGTCCTCCATTTTCAACCCAGTATTTTACAAGCTTGTATTGTTTCCGATTTTTGTCTCTCTACATCTCATATCTGGTTATTAATTTCTAGCTGTAATTGCAGGTTGGAGAATATTTTAATGAAATAGGCAAAACAGGTTAACAGTTCTGTTATTTGTGGAACACATTATTTTGGTTAAATGTATTTACATGAGTATAACAGTTAGTGCAAGGGAAGGCAACATACAATCCCAACACACTAATGCAAGATGTGCTCACATGATTATACTCGGTGAGGTGGGGGGAAAAAAAACACTGAGTGCATGGCACTGTTCACATGTGCCTTAAAGGCAGCATTAAGTAGTGCACCACAGATTTTTAGGATTATGTTATACTTCACAGAAAACAAGGTTTTTAGATAGTGCAGGTAACAGATTTAACTATGCACCCAAAATACTCAATAGGTAGTTAACTTACACAAGGTAGGAGGAGAAGACTGCTGAACAGATGTCCAAAATTTCCACCAAAAAGCCTGACAATACAGGTGAAGGTTCCACAGTTTTACATTGCATTGCTAAGTCACAACTAAGAGTGGTGTTTTCCTGCTTCAGAACAAGCTGTCCAAATGCCAGTACTTAACCAACAGAAGAGTTAACTTAAAATCAAGCATTTATAACACTGTTCTAGCCTTTTACTTCAGTAGAAGTCCATAACAAGACAGCTTGAAACAAGTTTTATTTCACTACCAAGTTACTAGCACCCTGCTTCTCCTGGCTATTTTTTTATTATTATTTTACTACTACTAAATAAAGTCTGCCTGGGCTCACCCTTCAATTTATGCTGAGCAGTATGTGGCGATAACATGGCTATAGGAACTGACAAGACACTATATAGAACAATGAGGACACCAAGGCTCAGCACACCACTTCAACACAGGTAGCCTTTGGTTTCTAGCAGGCCTTGGTTTCATGCCACACTGGATTAATATCTGGAATAAACCAGCTAAGAGCAAAAATAAAGCATAATCTCTGCAGGACATAGGTTACTAACACACCTGTGCATCTAGTCAGTTAAAGAACCTAATATGCATATCGTCCCCACCTTACCTGCTCAGCAGCTCCTGCCTCCCGCTTCAGGATTGCCTCTGCTGCTTTGTTATTCTTGTAGGTCATAGCACATGCAAATGGAGTCATGCCCTGCCGGTCACGCATATTCAATCTGATTTCTGGATGTGAAATCATCAGCTGAATGATGACATTATGCTGGTTGCTAATGGCAACATGGATTGGAGTTCTTCCCTCTGCATCCTACAAATAGAGACCACGAAGTTCACATAGCATATCAGAACTATAGCAATAGGCAGAAGCTTCCTCTCGTCTCTAAAACAGAGAGAAGTAGTACAGCAAGTGTGGGATATATAGTCTCCTGATTTTGGGGGGGGGGGGAGGGAAGGGGGAATTTAAAGGTACTAAATTATTTAAGAAAACAGTTAAAGCCTCTGTTATTTTAACAGTAACACAGATTGACTCATTTGTTATTTGGCTTTGTCCTTGGGAAATAGACCTTAATAATCTGGGCTACCTGTTCAAACAAGCAGATTCACATTCTCAAATACTGCTTCTCCCTGTCCCATAAGAGCCACATATTGTTGGATTCATGAGTATTTAGCAGTTGGGTCCACAATGTGCCCACTGAAGAAACCCTCAAGCAAATATCAGTAAGACTTACTATTTCAGCTATGGACTACTTGAGCATTCCCCTCCCCCATACTCCCACCTGCCTATTTCAAGTTAAAAAATTGTTTCTTTGCACTTCCTGCATCATGCAAGCACATTGGTATATTTACTTTAGGGTGTTAGTTATCGTTATTTTCATCTACTCTTTGTGTAGACTATGAGGCATTTAGGACTTGTTTCTAGAGGAGAAATAAGCACTGAACATAACCAGAAAATTCCATGGATCAAGCAAACAACACTTTAAGAATTTGATCTAAAAGTGTCTTAATTGATGCAACATATAAACGAAGATACTTTCAGGATTACCTGACATGCATACTATGCTATGATACGTTTTCAGATTAGTGGAAGTTTTGGAACGGACCATATGAATCATTACCTACATACATGTAGTTACATATGGGATTGCAGTTCTAACAAACCAATGCCATACATCTAGTCACACAGAACATTTTGGATAGTCAGGCAGGACCTTTGGGGCATGGATGCACCCTAAGTTCAGGGTTTTATTAGAATTCTTAATTGTTTTTATTATTTTTAAAGTTCACTTTCTATAATCCAGAGGGAATAATATATGGAAAGAGAAACATCTCAAAAAGAACGATGAGTACTTGTGGCACCTTAGAGACTAAAATTTATTTGGGCATAAGCTTTCGTGGGCTAAAACCCACTTCATGCATCTGATGAAGTGGGTTTTAGCCCACGAAAGCTTATTCCCAAATA